ACAGAATACACGGCCGCCTAGTACCGCAGGTGACCGAAGGTACCGTATTTGGCTCACACAGTGACGAATACAACCATCGCGACCATGCTAGAGCTAGGGCCAAACAAGAATCACCACAGTACCCCGTGTCCGGGGGCATTCACGGGCAGACGTGCCTACATGCCTCCAGCTTCCTCCCCTAAACGCACGTACCCATGACCCTTCCGATAAGCCTAGAAACAAGACGCACCCAACGTCAACGCACCCTCTTGCCACTTCGGCCTCTCCAGCCGGCCGCTACAACAAATTGCCACTCAAAGGCTAAACAAGAAAAAGAAAGTAGAAAATCACCCCCTATAGAAATAAACTACAAAAATGAAAAAAATAAAGAAAATAAAACAAAATACGAAGAAATGGAAAAAGAAAACAATACCCCTATACATATGAATCCAACCCCCCGCTCCCCCGCCCGCACCCACCATCCATCACCCTCCTCCCCCCTCCCTCCTCCCCTCCCCCGCACACTCCCCTCTCTACTCGCCCTCCCCCCAACATACTCTCTCTTCCGCCTCCTCCCCTCAACCTCAGCCCCCCCCCGCACCCTCTCTTCGTCTTCCTCCACCCGGTACCCCCTCCTCTCCTAGCCGACCAAGTCAGCTCACAACACGCCCCCTCCTCTGCCCGAACGGGTCATGCGCGTCCCCTCGCCCCGGACAGCGACTCGTATCACCGTCCAAGATCCAGACTCGACCTGCCGCACTTCAGCCCGTCACCGCCCCTCCGCTAGCCAGCGCGGTCCTCCGATCCCATCCCGCCGCTCGCTCCCACTCCTCCCCCCAACACTCCTGCTCCTCACCTCGTCCCCCAGCCCAGTCGACCTAAAGCCCCCCCTCCCCCGCCGTGCCCCCTTACTTCCTCCCCCAGCAAACTCCATAACACCCCACCTCCCCAGCCGACTCTTCCATTCGCACGTAGCTTCCCGTCAAATCCCAAACCACTCAGGGGCCCACCTCACGACTCAGCAGCCACTCAAAGGCCCAGTAACCCTACCGACCCTCCTCGTCCCCCCCAACAAAACGCCCCATCGGGCCTCCCCCCCATAGGGCCGGTCCCCCCAACACCGTCTCCGGGCTCTCAAAAGCTGCGATGCCTCCACGCATCCCGCCCTCTTCACCTTCCTTATCCATCATCTCTGTATCATAATAGGATAAGGAAAAAAAAAAAGAGAAGACACAACAAAATAGAAGATTAGTGATATAAGTAATTAATAGAGAATTGAGTAAAAATAGAAGAAAAGAGTATAAAAAGCAAAGATAAAAAAGAAAAGACATAAAACAACAATAAAAAGACATAATTCTTATCAAAAACAGTAACATCGCTGTCTAGTCGACACACCCGCTCTCACATATATCAAGGAAACCCTCCCCTCCCACCCTCCCCCTACACCCATCCACTTCCCCCACCACCGCCCCTCCCCCCCCCGCTTCTCCCTCGCATCGCCTCCCCCCCCGTGACACCCCCCTCTTCCCCTCGCCATCCCCCGCTAGCCCTTCGGCACCCCCGGCCTCACTCCCGCGCTCCCCTCCCACACTCCGCTCCCCCCTCCCCTCGCCCGCCCCTCCCCGCACCACCCCGTTTGCTCCCGCTCCTCATCTACTGCCCCGGCCCTTCCCCTCTCCCCCTCCCCAGCGCTCCACCCCCCCCTGCCTCCGTGAACCCTCCTACCCGCCTCTCCCCCTTCCCTCTCACCTCCCAACCCACTCCCCCTCCTCCCTCCCCCCCCCCCCTCCCTCCCCCCTCCCCCTCCCCCCCCCCCTCGCCTCCCATCCTCCCTCTTCCTCCCTCCTCCAGCTCCCTCCGTCCCCGCCCGTCTCCCCCCCACTCTCCCGGACCACCCCCCCACCTACTCCGCTACCCACTCCCCCACTCCCCCCTCTGCCCCCCCTCTCCAGTCTCTCTTCCTCTCCCCCTCCTCCCCCCCTCTCCTCTCCCTCTTCTCCGTTGCTCGTGCTCCTCCCTTCCTCTTCTCTCTTCTCCCTTCCCCCACCCCCCTACTACACTCCCTCCTCCCCACACCTAGCCTGCCGCTCTTCTCCGTCCCTCTCTCCCTTGCGATTGAGTAGAGACAATAAGAGTAAACTTCACGGAGACGTAATGAAGTAAAAAGATACTGAAGAAGAGAAAGGGATCTCGGCATGCCTTCATAGATCTAAACAGAGGCAAAGTCGTAACCCGAGCTAGCGAGACCTGTTCAAGATAATAAGCCCTGACGAGCATTCCCCGACAGGCGACATAAAAATGATAGCCCTACGATAAACATTAGCCGTACTATGAGCTGACAGCTGAGAGCAGCTAAGCTCTGCAACGAGAAAAGGGAGCAATTAGTTACAAGAGGAAACTCAGTTCGAGGAAATTGGCTGACCGATTACATACTGCACCAAAAGATTAGGAGGAAAAGTACACGAAAAGATTAAGGCAGAAAAATCGAGGAAAAGACCACAATGCAGCATCCCTATAGTAAAGGAGACGACAGTACTACTCGAGAAGATAAAGAGATAGTGAGGAGTAGAAAGCGACTAGAAGCAAAAGCCACCAGAAAACGAGACAAACACCATACTAGAAAATTGGGAACACGTGAGTGGGCGAGGCATGACAGTGAGCCTCTGCCGCACTGTGTACGGGACTCTCACGCTTAATATCCACTCAAACTGCTCCGTACCACTCATTTCTTTTGGTCCTGGTTTTTTATGTTTTCCTCTTGTCCCCGTCGATGGTCTCTCTTCCCAGCTCGCGCATAGTCCTTCTCCCCCCCGTATGCCCTTTTTTGCCGCGGGTTAACTACACTCAGGTAGCATGCTGATAGGGCGATACCGCCTTCGTTTTTTCAATCTTCGGTGCTCTTCGAGGTACCGGAGCAGCGGATCGTCAGACCTGTGGTAAGCCGTTCTCCCGTCCGTTGTGTATTTGACATATTGGCTTTTTCGCGCTCCTCTAGCTTTTGCAAACGGAGCAGTTTCAGAGAAACCGTTCGAAATTTCTGACCCTCTTCACGTTGGCATTGCCCGTTAGTAGGTCGTATCCTGTTGTGAGACGAACAAAAAAACACCCGAGACTGTGAGATTGAGAGTAACGAAAGAGACAACACCCAGCACACACCCCCCACACCCACACCCGCCCCGGGCCCCCCCATTCCTTGTCTCCCACCACGACCATCCGTGGCAGCCTACTTCGATTAATACTCCATTGGAGAGTGCGCAAAATCCTCCGTTTTTCCCCCTCTCTTTGCGACGTGACCGAGGATCGGAGTCATTCCTTCCTTGACTCCGTAAGGAGTCCGGCCTCAACAGTCTTGTCTCCCCTCCGCTAATATCGCAACGCGCCTTACGAACGGTCTCTCGATGGCTGCCCTTTTTGCTCCTGCTATTTTTCTAAGCACAGTGCAAAAGCTAAGGGATCGATATAAAGCTTGCAGGCAAAGAAAACCAAACAACTGATAGTCAATTAGAGTTTCTGGAGAAGTAGTCAGTAAGGATACCTTGGGGAGCTGCGGCATGAACTAGTGCAGCTACCAGCAAGAGTGCAAGGGTGGTTGTTCTTGATGCCATTTCTGTCAATCGATTTTTGACTTCAGACGAACTTTTTCTTGTGATTGTTGGAGTAGTTCTCTCTATGCTTATGCTGAGGGACCTACTTGAAACGTTTTTATACTCTCTGGTTACGTGCTCTCAAGACAGTGTGCAATGGTCTTCCTCATTTACATCATTATATAACACCTTAAGAAACCCCATACATTGTATAATGCTTCTTTCAGTATCTAGCTATAACTCCCACTTATTGGTGTGAAGTGTGAAGGAAGTGGCTAGCCCTAGTGTTAAAGTCTTGAGGAAGTGGCTTACTATGAACTTTTGAGTGGTAGAGGAAGTTGTTAGATTTCTCACCAGCAAACTGCAAGCTTCTTGTCAGCAAACTACATACACAATGAAAAGCACTAAAGTGCAAACCCTCGGCACACTGTGGAACCCATACACAAGTGTGGCACCACCACAATTGATGGTCTTGACCATAGAACAGCATGTTATGCACTATTTCCATGAAAAAATGGTCAGCCCCATTTCTGTTTGAGGCCCAAAAAATATATAAGGTTGAAAAATTGCAAACCATTCATCTCTCTATTAATTTTCGTATTACCTGTGGATTGTTTAGTGCAAAAAAAATTTGCAATAAAAAAAAACGCCCAGCCCTTCATCTCTCCAGACAGACGTCTACGGACGCAGTGCTATGCCGAACTATACGCTGCCCTTTGAGAAACATGGGTCAGTGGTAGATTTGTGGGTAAGGGGAGGAACCAGAGCTGTTCCCAGCCAATGCTCTGGACCACCTGACATTTTAGTGCGGGATCGAGGATTCGAACCGGGACACCTATGGTGTCAGTCCCCACGACTCTAACCACCTAGCCACTCGGGCTGGCCTTGAGAGGTGATGAAAAAACGTTCCATATATACCAACACTCCTATTACATCATTGTAAAAAAGCGTGCACACCCGGGATCGAACCAGGGACCTCACGATCAAGAGACGGGGTGCTTATCCATAAGACCAACCCATTACTTGAATGGGAACAGTGTAAATGAAAGTGCAAACCCTCGACGAAGTAGCTCACAGAGAGTCTGACACGGGCTAGCTACAGTAGTAGATAGCACGCGAGCGGACCCGGTCGAGGTGCCTGTGCTAAATATAAGCGCATGCACATTATCCGCCAGCGATGAAATGGCCATACAATGCTCTAGCTCTGCAACGGATCATTTTCAGAGAAAACCCCACATATTTTCTGACCCTCGTCGCCCGTTGGGTAGATGGTATCGTTTCTGGGACGAACAGACGCCCGAGAAGTGAGATTGAGAGTAACAGACACACAGACAGACAAACCCAACTACAGTACCCTCGCTGCGCATGCGCGCCGAGGGTAAATAATGTCCATGGAGGTATTGAGAGGTGAAGAATTGCAGTGCTTCCTGTCTTCTACTTTCCTGTTTGCATCATGATTCATGTGCAGACACTCACCCAATGATCAACATAATAATTATAGGAGCATCATAGTTCAAGGTAACAAACCATGCAGTGTTTATATTTCAGCAAGACACCCATATAGCATATATACACACACATTAAGCACTGTGCTAAGTATCAACGCAGAAGTGCAAACACAAACACCATAAATATTGTCTTTTATTAGAAAATGGTGACACTATAATGATAGGAGAGGCTAAATATGTCAGTGTGTTCTCCGCTTTGACTGTTGGAGCAGGAGAGGCAGATGGGCCAGCAAGTACGGTGGACACTCTGTAGGAAATGGAGTATTGTAACAACTCCTATAAATAGTTGGCGATGATTGGAATGGGCAAGAGCTATATAGCAAAAAAAATCAGCACTTTTTCTCTGAATGTGGTGTGGTGAAATAATTGTTCAATTTCTTAGACCAGTCTTTCTTAAAGCTTCATCACTAAGTATATACTACCGTACACTACCGATTTTTAATTTACTTGTGTCAAATTTTGAGGTGAAAGGTTCACTACTGAGTGCATGGTGTATGAGAGAAAGAGGAGGAGTCTCTCTGAGGGAACTGACCGTGGAACTCTGTGGAGATGTGGACCCATTTCTCAAGGAATTCCTCCATTTCCCTCTCCTCTTCGCTCACCAGACACCTCTCCAAACACAGCTGTGGTTGCAGATTTCATCACCATCAAAAAATTTAGCGAAATCTGCTTAAAATTCGGCAATTCCTCAAAACTTTGGTGTCCTTATTTCAATTGCATGAAAGAACTGTTCTTAGGGGGAAGAACGAGTCTTTTTTCATTCTCAGAATGCAAAGGGGTCTTAGAGAGGGGTTCCACTGCAGCTAGATAGAGCACTGATGGCATAAATTATCTAAGAAAGCTGTATCCCTGCCACTGCTTGTACCTTTTCCAAGTCTTTCTTCTCAAGGTGATTGGGTCCACCTTCGACCTTGATCAGACAATCAGTGGTGAAAATGTAGCGAAGATGAGATTCCAACCGCGACCTCAGGGCGGAGCCACGGAGCCAGGGAAGTAGGCGGGGCAGGACACCTCCAGCCACACCCCACATTCCACAGATATTCTCCTGTGCATTATTATTACATCTTTAAGTGGTGGGAGCTGCTATTAATTAGTTTGAGAGAGTACACACATCCAATAAAACCATACCTTAAACAGTAAAATGGCTCATTCTTGCACTGAACCAGATGTTTTAAAAAAATATTATGCCACCATTTGCATGCTGCAAAATTCTTCCTTCATAAGAACCGTCATTTTTGTTTCACACATTTCTACTACTCCAGCAAGATATTATTATCGTAGTACAGTAAATTAAAGCCGTACTATATCCATACATAGGCAACCACAATGTCATGCACACAATTAAGGTTTCCAGTCATTGTAGTACACCATTACATCATCACACTCATCCATCACATGATTGACTCACTAGATGTTGACCTCGGACATTCCTGAAGTCCCCACCATCCTGTGATTCTCTCTCCACATCCTCTCCTCCTCTTCCTCCCTCCCTCTCCTCTGGCTGAACCATTGAGGAAATATCAGCATTGTCGTAACATGTCACACCAGTTCTAAATATAGCAAGCACTATTAATAGCAATCCACATTATTATAGCAGGGAAGCTTCTGAGAGAGGAAAAAAATAGTGACCAAAAACTTGGACCACTCCCCATTAAGTTTTTCACGGACGAAAAACATTTGTCGCTGACTCTCAAATTTGCAAGTTTTCTTGAGTTTTCCCACTAATACAGCAAAGAAAATATGATCCTATATTAAGCCAATGTGCAGGCTCACATTATTCAGGCTGGCTTCCAAACACCTCAATTCCTCAGAATACCCATCGGTGGACAGAAGAGAGGAGAGGTTGGCAGCTCTAGCAGAGGTGGCCGCCTTCTGTAACTCTGTCTTCTTCTCAATAGTCAGAAAATGGCTGCTCAACATGCGATGAGGGTACATGAACCTATAAGCATTAGCAGGAGGAGAGGGGTTAAATAGCAGAAGAAGCAGGAGGAGAGGGGTTAAAAGTAAAAATATAGCAGGTAAAGGGAGAGTAGTAGAGTAGTGGAGGGGGAGTAGGAGAGGGGTTAAATATGAGAAAGGTAAGGGTTAAACTGTTGAAAACAAATAGAATCACAACGATGCATGTCCTAATTGAGAGAAGCAAAAGGTTAAATTCCTTTGCAGTGATGCAGACAGAAGGAGAGGATGTCAAATTGACCTCAGAATCTGATGAAATTCAAGCCAAAGGTCACATGACCAACTGATGAAAGTCACATGACAGATTGATAATGGTCACATGACAGAGTGAATGTCTCATGTGACCAACTGCTGAAAGTCACGTGACCTAAAGAGGTAAACGTGAAAACTCACACAATGAGTGGCACAAAGTAGCCAAAAAAGGGGACGAAAAAGAGAACAATCGTTGGCAGCATTTTCTTCAGATCTTTTTGCGTCTGTGAGAAGAAACAAATACCATACATTCACTACTTACAATACACATGACTCCCCTTTGTTCAGCTCACTCTTTGCATGTATATACTTTCATTTACTCTGTGTGTATGTATACCTGATAGATGAATTGTAGCTCTGTTCTGTTGAATCCTAGGTCGGTTGTACCGGGTCCAGTTCCATTTGGAGCACACCCCGTGATCACGAGCCTATGTCGCCTCTTCAACTCATTCATTGCTTTCGCATCTTTATACAGACCCTGCAGACGAAATGTGTTTGGAAGAAAAGAAGTATATGGAATCCCTCTCTAAGGACACCCCTGAAATGAGGACACCTCTCTAATTTCTCTCTACGATATTGCAATTCAACCCCGGAAATAAGGACACCTGACTAATATATCACCTTGGTGCCCGACATGAAAGCAGAGACGAGTGTAGCTAGCTTTCTCCACCCCCTCCTGAGTAGACCCTCGTCTTCCGGTGAGCCTCCTCCTCTGGGGGTGTGGCTCTGCTGTCGGGCGGGGCCGTGGTGGGTGGAGTACATGGTACAGCATGTCGAGAGGAGGGGGAAGGAGTGGGCGGGCGGGTGAGAGGTAGGGATAATGGTGTAGTTGTGAGCTACGATGGGTCTTGGTAGATACTTCGTTGCGTTACAAAGGAGGGTCTCTGCACAATTCCACATGGTCCCTAAACAGACAGAGAGAGAGAAAAACAAGATTATGGGGTATGGACACGGAATACACACCTACCTAGTAGTGGCCGGCTGCACACTGTGCGCTACCTATGCGCAGCTTTTTCTAATTAGAGAGCACTAAGGGCCCTCGGCGAAGATGGCGCTGTCTCTCCACTACCTGAAACGGGTCCTCTACTCGTGTTCGTGCTCCCAGCCGGCCCCGCTCACCGACCTCTACTTCTGCCGCCACTGCAAGGTCGCTCGCTGCCAGGACTGCGTCTCTATCACAGTGGACACCTACTTCTGTCCGCACTGCTTCGAGACCGTGCCAGTCTCCGAGGCCAAGAACAGGAAGAACCGCTGCAACCACTGCTTCCAGTGCCCGCGCTGCTCCTCCACGCTCACCACGCGCTCCATAATCGTCCCGAGCGAGGTGCTAGCCGAGCAATCGCCCAAGAAAACCGAGTCTCCTTCGTCGAAATCTCCGTCTCTCGCTCGTTCACCCGGCGGCACCAAATCCTACTATCTCTCGTGTACCCACTGCAAATGGAGTACTCGAGACGTGGGCATCAAAGACAAGAGATCTCCAATCGATTTCAAGGATCCTCTGAGCCCTCACCAGGAGAGAGTTTCGCAACTCGTGTCGTTCTACAAGGAGTTTTCTATGCGAGATCAGGCTGAGAGGGAGAAAGCGAAAAAAGTCGGGCGTCGCGGAAGAAGCTACGGCGGGTTGTTGGACACCTCGAAGTTTGTGAAGGGGGCATCTTCAGACAGCCCCAAGCAGCTACGGCGTGCCTCGCTGCAAGGGACTTGGAACAAGTCGGTCGTCAACAAAGTGGCCACGCAATCCACGGATTGTCCGGACCAAATCCCGGACGGATTTTACTCGGGAGAGCCCGAATTGAAGAAGATTGCGACACTCCAACAGCGTCTGTTAGACCCCGCCCACCAGCCGGCGAGAGTCGAGCAGTTCACCCCGCGACCCCTGCACCTTATCGGGAAGAAGCTCCTCCGATGCAAAGGCTGCGACCACATTCTCCTCAAGGCTGAAATCAACCCAAGCTCGATCCGTTTCAAAATCCAGCAAATCGCTCTGCACACCTTTCCGCAGATTCGTATTCTCAAGCCTCCGAGTCTGGTTGCTGGTGCCCCGTGCGAAGTCCTCCTGTCGGTATCAAACCCAGTCAATCACGTTGTGAGCATCTCGTTTCAGCAGCTGGAACCGTCTTTCACGAAGGGGGGAAAGGTTTCACTTGCCCCCGTCTCTCTCCCCAAAGGCAGCTACCAACTGAGCCCCAATGACGACATGGGAGACCTTTTGGACGACTCAGAGGAAGAGCTCGAGGGAGAGAAGGAGTTTATTCACTCTCGGCTGCTCGGAAAACTTGTCCTCAAGTTCAATGTCGCACCAGAAGAAGGAACGACGGGCGAAGTAAAGTTTGGGTTCGTTTTGAGCTTTGACTACAAGTCGACGATGGAGCTCGAGAAACAAGAATCTTCTTGTATAGTCCCTGCACCAGTAGTGGTTGACTTGGGCAAATTGACTCATTCTGATGACTAGAATCAGGTTGGAAATCAGCATGAATCATTTGTTAAGCGCGCTGTAATTATTAACGCACTTACGTAATATCGCTCGCACGCGCGCATAAATTAATTACGGGGGCGGGGGGGCACAAAAGGAGAGGGAGTGCTGGTAAGATAGCTAGTTGTTCCTCTTGCTCGTTGTTGCAGCCCGAGATATGGCGGGCGAGGTGGCGAAGCAATGCTCAGTCGTATGGTGGCAGTTCCTGCTTGTACTGTGGAAAAACTTCATCCTGCAGGTAAGCTTACATGCCGCCTGTACCAGCCGGTTTGTTCGATCGTGTAGCTTACACTGAACCATGCACCAGCGCTGTAGCGCGTGTGTCGCTGCAGTTTTTTTTGCGCGTGTTGTTGATATGCGCGTGTGTTCGTCTCCTGCAGATCCGTCGTCCAATCGGGACCGTTTTCGAGTTGCTGATTCCTCCGCTGGCCGTTGTTGTCCTGATAGGACTAAGGTTAGCGAAGATGTCGCGTCCTCGGAACTCGCCGGCCTGCAGCTCTTTGAAGCTGAAGCTGATTTCTGCACCGTATATAGTACACTGTACTTATGTCTGCCCGCAACGGACAAGTGTTCATTAGCAAGAGGGCGTTATGCAACAAACATAGCTAGCTATGTAAACGGTCACTACTAGTTTGTTCTGGCTACAAGAGGAATTTACAGTATAATTATCTAGCCATGTGGTAGACATGTGTTGCAGTTATGAATACTTGCAAAGAAGTGGAAGATTAGTTACTGGCACTTTGTTCACTTTGTGGGACCAACTGTGGCCTCTATGCCAACATACACGCACAACTTCAATGCTTGGGACAAAATCTCAGATGCATGAGTATGATGGGCCAATGCAACAATGGACTACACTTCTATTCATGCAACTTATGGGTGAACCATCATGCCCATACATTGATGCCTTTATGTGCACATGTATGCAGGTTTGGTATATTCCAGCCCGAAGATCAATGCTTCACGACCTTTCCTTCCGACCCACTCACTGTGCCTCTACCAAACAATACCTATCAGATCTTCTACACCCCAATTAATAATGACACGGGTGAGCTACTAATTATAGTTAATAATGACACGGGTGAGTCTCATTTATTAAGGGATATACAGTGCAATCTCTGAAAGGTGACACTCTAAGGACTCTCTATAAAAATAAAAAATGCCTCATACAAAAGTATGAGAATGCCCCGAATGAAGTACATTAACGAGGTGTCATATATTTAGACGTTTCATTGTCAACCCTTTACTCCCTACTTTGCTCCTCTCTCTAAACAAACAGAAAGGATTGCAAGTTGCATATCAAAGGCACTACCGTTTGCAATGTGATGGGTGTCGAAAACGAGCAGATGTTGTTGGGCAATCTCAGTGAAAACAGCGTGGACCCTCCACTAGAGTTTACCATGCGAATCCCGGTGGATGACAGTAACTTCACTATCCCTGTCAGAGGTGATGCTGGCTGCTTCATTGGCGGAGCAGGTAAGAAATCTCCCACAAAGGGAACCTCCAAATAGTAGTCACCTTTAAAGGACACTAGATTCTGCCCTATACAATAGATTGTGTGTACTATTACGTACCTCTCAACAAGGGGCCCCCCTGAATAAAGGACACCTACTCATAAATAATACTTGGTTCTGTATAATTATAGTGCAATACCTCCGAAATAGGGGATGCCTCGGAGGAGACGTTTCGATCTCCCCAAGGTGTCCCTTATTCAGAGGTACATATGGGGTTAATTTGACACATGATGCAAATGGGGTTAATTGACATATGATGCAAGGTGCTTCCTGGAGCATAACCCCTAGTCTATACGTACTCCGCACATTCCTAAAAAAAGTGCTGAGTTGTCATGCAGTTAAAGTAGTGTATAATTCCTGCTGTAAATAAACGCTGTAGTGTTAGTACACTGTGAATGTACTATATGGGTTCTCCCCGTTCCTACTCTCCACTTCCTTTTCCCGCCCTCGTGTCGTCTCGTCTCCTTCATCCGCTCTTCTCTCTTACTTTCTCAGGGATAGTATTCACAATGTCAACAGAACTAAAAATGACGGCGGCTGGAATACACTCTAAGACTCAGACATGAAGTCGGTGAAGATGATTCCTGGGAAACTCGCGAGGCTGCTCCAAACTTTCAGCTAACTGGACCACGCGTCAGAAACAAGTCAGCCTAAATTTTTTCTCCAGCTTTCCAATTTTTTTCCCCCTCCAAAATTTTTTCCTCTCTTTCCAAAAAATTTTTCTCTCTCTCCTGAAAATTTTTCATACTCTCATGTTCACCCTCTATCAATTTTTCTCCGTCCCTATAGTTTCTATTTGAGCGAAGGGTTCGTTCATCTTCAGAACGTAGTTGGAGAGGCCATAATTCGACTGATGGCTAACCCAGACATGACTGAGTGCGAGGGTGTATTACAGCCGGAGATATCTGTCTCCATGCGGCAGCTGCCTTACCCTCAGTACACCATTGACGTATTTCTCTCTATCATAGTCACCATCTTACCGTTCTTTGTGATTCTGGCCTATATCTACTCTGCTGGAATCTTCACTAAGGTATTATTTTACACCAGCGAATGTACCGCATGTGAGTGCGATATTTCTGCAGTTTACACGTATTAATGTTACTAGGGTGGCTTGCTTCTCTATGCCAACCAGCTAAAGTATTGATGCCATTATGGCTGATGGTGCTCAAAGTTGCCCCATAAAATAGTGAATTCTCGTTCACTTGCAACTTCACCTTATTTCAGCTCACTATGTCTATGGCACCCATAGGGCCAAAGAGCATTATTGCATATGTCTGTCTGTTTTCATACATATGACAAACTGTGTTATGATAGGAGCTTGTGCTGGAGAAAGAGACTCGTATCAGAGAGTCAATGTTGATGATGGGGCTCCAGCAGTGGGTGCTCTGGACCACCTGGTTCATCAAACAATTCATTCTCCTCCTCATTTCTGCCATCTTCGTCACCATTCTTCTCAAGGTTCTAGAGTTATAATATCCCTCCAGCTTCATTCCCGTTGAAAATTTTTCTCTCTCTGTATAGTTTGGACAGGTTTTCCCGAATTCGAACTTTCTTCTGCTTCTCATCTTCTTCATTCTCTACATTGTTTCGTTCATTTCCTTCTGCTTCTTCCTGAGGTTAGTTCATCTCATTGTGCATTGAAATGGCCGCCTTTACTCTTCTCTCTCCTCTTTCTACCTATCTCACTTCTTCTTCTTCTTCTTCTTCTTCTTCTTCTTCTTCTTCTTCTTCTTCTTCTACTTCTTCTACTACTCCCCCACCTCCTCTCTCCTCCCCACCTCCCTCATTCCACCACTCTAGTGTTTGGTTCAACACGGCAAGAGTGGGACTACTGGTCGGATTTCTTGGCTGGTTTATGAACTACGTTCCCTATCTCTTTGTTCCTGGGCAGTATAATAACCTTGATCTGTAAGTCGCTTACTCTGAGATATAATAGTGGAGCCCCTCTCTAAGGACACCCCTGAAATGAGGACACGTCTCTAATAAGGCTTTCCCCAAGAAGAGTCCATTAGTGTCCGGATTAGAGGGATTCCACAGCATGTAGGTTGAACACTATGTCGCTGTACCTAAACACTTCTTTTTCTTGCCTTTTCCTTCATTACCACCCCTTCTGGCAAGGGTTTGAACGGTTTTGCATTTGTTGTACGCACATGAGTAAACGAAACGACAAACCAACCATCCCTGATACTTTGACTATAGTTGGAGGTTGGAATAGCGATACTATCTCGCTGTACCTAAACACTTATTTTTCTTGCAATTTCCTTCATTACCACCACTTCCGACAAGGGTTTGAACGGTTTTGCATTTGTTGTACGCACGTGAGTAAACGAAACGACAAACCAACAATGCCTAACACTTTGACTATAGTTGGAGGGTGGAATAGCGATACTATCTCGCTGTACCTAAACACTTATTTTTCTAGCAATTTCCTACCCCTTTCGACAAGGGTTTGAACTGTTTTGCATTTGTTGTACGCACACGAGTAAACGAAACGACAAACCAACCATCCCTGATACTTTGACTATAGTTGGAGGGTGGAATAGCGATACTATCTCGCTGTACCTAAACACTTATTTTTCTGCCTTTTCCTTCATTACCACCCTTCACAGGGTTTGAACGGTTTTGCATTTGTTGTACGCACATGAGTAAACGAAACGACAAACCAACAATGCCTAACACTTTGACTATAGTTGGAGGGTGGAATAGCATACTATCTAGCTGTACCTAAACACTTATTTTTCTAGCATTTCCTACCCCTTTCGACAAGGGTTTGAACTGTTTTGCATTTGTTGTACGCACATGAGTAAACGAAACGACAAACCAACAATACCTCACACTTTGACTATAGTTGGAGGGTGGAATAGCAATACTATCTCGCTGTACCTAAACACTTATTTTTCTTGCCTTTTCCTTCATTACCACCCCTTCTGGCAAGGGTTTGAACGGTTTTGCATTTGTTGTACGCACGTGAGTAAACGAAACGACAAACCAACCATCCCTGATACTTTGACTATAGTTGTAGGTTGGAATAGCGATACTATCTCGCTGTAACAAAACACTTATTTATCCTTCATTACAACCCCTTCTGGCAAGGGTTTGAACAGTGTGTTGTTCTCTCTCTACAGTGGTGGAAAGATAGCGTTCTGCATTCTGTCCAACTCGTGCATGGGTCTCGGAATCAACACCATATCTCTCCTGGAGATAAGAGGGGAGGGGGTCCAGTGGGGAAACTTTGCGGAGGACATCTCCCTGGACGACGACTTTCACCTTGGATACGTGTTCCTTATGTTGATCGTCGATTCCATTGTCTACATGCTCATTGCATGGTAAGCGTGTACAGTGGAACCCTTCTAATCCGGGCATGACCAGATTATAGTGGGGAAAGGGTTAATGGGGCTGCCCTCTAATTTGGACACTAATGACACAAAAGAAAGTATCAGTGAGAGAGATGTTCGTATCAGGTTTACTTTTTTGTCCTTATTAGAGAGGTGTCCTCGTTTCAAGGGTGTCCTTATTAGAGAGGTGTCCTCATTTCAGGGTGTCCTTTGAACTGTAATTTCATTGGCGGTCACCAGAATTGCGCAATACATGTGCGGAAATGACACAAACAGGTCTTGTAATGGTCGGAGTACTCACGTTGCCAAAAACTTGCTACCATACTTATTGACTTTACCTACATGTACGTATCTCTCAGGTATGTGAATGGAGTGAAGCCGGGACAATATGGCGTCCCGAAACCAATCTATTTTCCGTTTCAACCGTCCTACTGGCTCGGAAGACCTCTCACTTCAAAAACGAAAAAGGTACATTCTGTGTAAACACAAGGTGATATGATAGCTAAGTCAACTTCCTTCCTTAGTTGACCTGGTAGGTGATAACTGATAAGATAGATGGTAGATTATGATAGTAGATTACTGATTAAGGTAGATGGTAGATTACTGATAAGATAGATGGTAGATGACTGATAAGATAGATGGTAGATTATGATAGTAGATTACTGATTAAGGTAGATGGTAGATGACTGATAAGATAGAGGTAGATGACTGATAAGATAGATGGTAGATTATGATAGTAGATTACTGATTAAGGTAGATGGTAGATGACTGATAAGATAGATCTTATATACAAAGGCTCTGCCTTTGCCTTACTATGATACCTTCTTATTGACGCACACAGGCAAACCAGTCGTGGTTCTGCCGAACGGACTGGCACGAACGCCCATCGGCCACGAGGCCGAGCCTAAGGTGATCTGCCAGTTGGACATCAGCATAAATAACCTGACCAGATTTACTAGATGATGGGTTAATGATGCCGTGAGCGATGCTATACGTCACTTACAAATTACTCTAGCGCGATTACGACGTGAAATCCGCTCTAATATATAGTACCGCTGTGTCTGAGTGGTATCTCAAGAAGCTACTGAAATCAGCTCTACTGGTATATAGTACCCGGTGCTGCATGGTATATACAGAACTACCTACTGAAATCAGCTCTAATGTATCTAGTACCCTGTGTCGCAGGTATATACAGAACTAACTGAATCAGCTCTAATGTACATATGTCCCCGTGTGCTGCCATGGTATATACAGAACCTACTGAAATCAGCGCTAATGTATATAGTTCACCACCTGTGTCTGCCTGGATATACCGAAACTCTGAAATCAGCTCTAATGATATAGTACCCTGTGTCCTGCAATGGCTTACAGAACTACTGAAATCAGCTCTATGTATATAGTACCCGTGTCTGCATGGTATATATACAGAACCTACTGACATCAGCTCATAATGTAGTACCCTGTGACTGCATGGTCGTAACAGACTACTGAAATCGCTCTAATGTAGATAGTACCCTGTGTCTGCATGTATCTACAGCAAACCTACTGAAATCAGCTCTAATTAGTACTGTGTCGCAGCGGTATATACAGAACCATACTGAAATCAGCTCTAACGTAGTACCTGTGTCTGCATGGTATATACAGAACCTGCTGAAATCAGCTCTAATTTAGTACCCTGTGTCTGCATGGTATATACAGAACCTGCTGGTAAAGCTGCTGGCTAGCCACGAGGAGAGAGAGAAGAGGAGGAAGGTAGCGGTGGACAGTCTGAACCTCAACATGTACGAGGGTCAGCATCACTGCTCTCCTGGTCACAACGGGCCGCAAGACCACCACCATGTCCATACTCACTGTTGTGTACATGCAGCTATTTGACTGCATACATGGATGTCCTTCCCTTCCTCTTCCTTGTCCATTTTCTTTACCACTATACTTCTCTTCTTCTTCCTATTATTTTCCTCTTTCCCTTTTTCCCTAACCTTCTTTTTTCTCTTTCACGTCCTCTTTTTCCTTTTTTACTCATCATCTTCTACCTCGTCTTTTTCTTTTTCTTTTTCCTCTCTTTCATCATCTTGCTTTTTCTAATCTTCCACCTACTTTTTTTCCTCACTCCTCCTTTTTGTCATTTCTTTTGTTTTCGTCGCCCCCACCCCCTTCCCCCAAGGTCTGTACACACTAACTACAAACTAGACAAGGGCTGGAATGGAAATCCCTTTAGATTTCCCCACCCCCCATGTGCCTGTAAAACCCACCCCCCCTCTCCCTTTCTCCACCTCCCCTCTTCCCCCAAGGTCTGTACACACCGACGGGAGGTACAGCAGTCATCAATGGATATGACATACGGAGCAACATGGACCAGATCAGACACAGTCTCGGCATCTGTCCCCAGCACAACGTCCTCTTTGACAGACTCACCGTCAGGGAACATCTCACCCTCTTTGGGAGACTCAAGGTTAGCCCAGCTTCCCAACATAATTTCTCACTTTCACCATGCCATCCATAAATTTATTTCCATCCTTTTTTCCATAAATATTTGTTCCATACATTTTTTTCCCATCATAAAATTTGGTATCAAGGCCAGAAGTAATTTTTCTGTAGAATAAAGATTGGGTATTTCGTTTTGATTCATCGCATAGTCAGTCTTGTGTTGTTCCGTTGCTTGTGATAGGGTCTGAACGGAAAAGAGGCGAAGGCAAGAGCAGACAGTATGATAGAAGATCTTCACTCAAAGACAGAGAGACGTGCCTCCGCAGCCTGTCCGGAGGGATGAAAAGAAAACTGAGGCAAGCCACTTTGTGTTTGTTTTGGGCCGTTTTTGTTACTTATTAGTGACCGAAGCAAGCCTACGTATATAGTTGTCTCATTAATACAGTTTTCTTAACTTGCTGCCACAATGTGGCATGCGCGAACATTGTCGCGTCACCTGCCATAATGTGTTGCATTCTGTATATGTACAGTAATTGTATATATGTACATAAGTGATGCGTATGTACTGTGTGTTGGAATGATATTTGTGATCTGTGCTGCAATGTATGTGTGTGTAGTGTTGGAATAAGCCCTCATTGGAGGCTCCAAGATCGTTGTTCTCGACGAGCCGACGTCAGGAATAGACCCCTACCCCGCGGGCCATCTGGGATCTTCTGTCAAACACAAGAAGAAGGACCATGCTTCTCTTTTCTACTCACTCACTTCTGTAGGACTTTCTCTCCCATCTCTCTCTCTCCCTTTCTTTCTTCCTCTTCTTCCTTCCCCCATCTCTCTCTCTCTCATTCTCTTCTTCTTCTTTTCCTCTCCTTCTCCACATAAAGTTAATTCTCATAAGTTCCTGTTTGTTTGGTTGTAGGATGAGGCAGATTTGCTGGGAGACCGGATAGCGATCATGGCGAAGGAAAACTTCGCTGCTCGGGATCCTCTCTTTTCCTCAAGAGCAGGTCGGCACATTATCAGCTGTACTCATACGGTTGTGTTTCACTCTATGGACATGGCTATGGTGTGTCGATGCTTGGCGTCTATGATGCTGTCTATGTAGCCTATGGTGTCTATTGCTCGTCTATGGTGTCTATGATGATGTTATGCTGTATCTATGTATCTATGGTAGCTATGGTGTCTATGGTGTCTATGGCGTCTATGGTGGTCTATGGGTCTATGGTATTCGATGGTGTCTATGATGATGTCTATGGTTGTCGCTATGGTGTCTAGGTGTCTATGTGTCTCTATGGTATCTATGGGTGTCTATGGTGTCTAGGCGGTGTCTATGGTGTCTATGATGGGTCTAGTTGTATCTCTGGTGATCTCTGTGGTCTATGATGGTGCCTATGTAGGTATCGATGATGTCTAGGTGTGCCTATGGTGTCTATGTGGTCTGTTTCACCAAGATTTTACTGACACTTGTTCTTTCATTCTTCCAGGTATGATGGCTACCACATGGTAGTGGGAAGGAGCGTCGTGTAATTCGTACCGCGTCACATCCATAGTGGCTCCCCTGGTCCAGGAGCAAGAAGATCACCACGACGTTGTGCACGAACTATCCTTCCGTGCCTAGCCCTCAGAATTCGACCAACTCTTTCGCAACTGTTCGACACTCTGAACGGTACGTGTGTATACAGTGGAACACCTCTCTAAGGACACCCCTGAATGAGACCCCTCTCTAGGACAACCCTTGAAATGACGACGCTCCTCTCTCATAAGGACAAACCTCTACCTCTTCTGTCCGCCAAGAACAGTTGTTGCACTAATATGACACGTTCTTCGGTACCATTGGGGCCACAGTTTAGACTATTGTACTTGCTGGTGAATTGCTCATATATACAGTACACTTGAGGTCCAATTTAATATGGTGTATGTAGACAATACATGATGTGTAGGTGTGTTTCAGTCCATAGTATATACATTTTTGATCATCTCTCTCCTCCCTCACTGCATCTCCACATAGCTCGCAAAAAGGGGAAAAAACAGTTTGGTATAGCTGATTCGCATTTCCATCACAACCCTGAGGCGGTCTCATCACATCAAGTTGGCGAAGTGCACGGACTAGTCGCTGGAGCAAAGTAACATCACAATGTGTATACGGATTAATATTGGAATACCCTCCTAAGTATGGGTCCACCATGAAGTATATAGGCATTTATGGACATTTAACACCTAGTGTATGGATTGAAACAGTGTTCAAAAGGACGGGAACGCTGACCGATATCCATTGCCTCGCCACACAAGCTGCAGAAAAACCACCAGGTATATATATAGTATTATACTGGCACACATTTCCGCGTATACTTGTTTAACTGAGATAACCTGTCACATTACATGCTAATGAATTAACTAGTTGTTTTTCGGGGGTTACATTACATACTGGAAACTGTTATTGTGGAAAGAAAGGTCGCCTTGTTGGGTAGTTGTCTCATTTCAGGGGTGTCCTTAGAGAGAGGTTTCCTCTGTATAGGGTATACTGCATAGCTACGCCTTTAATATCTCTTTGACTGAATGTTTTCTTTATGTGTGTTAGCTCCCTATCCAGAGAGACGTGTGCTTGCACCTCGAAGAGATTGCGGTAATAGCTGCAAGAAGACCACTGCCTGCCCCCGACGACGTAGGTCAGTACTCGCACCCAAGAGAAGGTGGCCGTAGATATACAGACGGCTGGAGACGATAGCTCCCTCAAGACACCTCTCTCACCTCCAAAAGATTTTCGGTGAGCGTTTAATCGTAGCTCTATTACCACTCTCGTGTAAAAACATAGTTTTACTATGAGTGCTACTGCGTCATTTTCCCACATGCCGCACACACACAACCACACTTACACGTCAATTGGAGTGTGTACTTAAAAAATTAGGACAGCTCGTCATAAAATCTACGAATTGCAAGCTAATGATTTAGTGATTTGCTCAGGTACCACCCTCGCATTACCACATATAAAAAGTAGCTTTAGCTGTGCATTATAACCTCTCCTCCCTCTTCCCTTCCTCTCTCCTCCCTCTTCCCTTCCTCTCTCCTTCCCCACTCAGTCCCATCACCACAGGGATCCAAACACAAAAATCAACCTCTGGCTCAGCAGTTCTCCGCTGATGCTCATGAAGAGAGCCTACAACACCCTGCGGTTCTGGCAGGCCATAATCAGCCAGCTCATCCTCCCCCTCCTCTTCGTCCTGTTGGCCTCATTTCTCGCGTAACTCTGCCCAATGCCAACGAAAACGATCCAATCAGAGCCCTGACGGTACAAAATTCTGGGCTGGATTTCGTCGAATGAACTCTGTTTTTTGCCGAGTTCGATGATTTGGGCTCTGTTTTTGAATTTACGGTGAGGGCCTGCTTCTCTCTAATCATTAGCCCTACTTCCTTACTTTATCCGTGCTTTTTCACCTCCTTTTGTCCTGTGTAATTGAATACATGCTACTACTTTTTGTTTTTGAGCCCTTACTTCTCTCCTTATTCCACTCATGTCTTACTTGTGAGTTTTTCATGTCTTTGTGTTTAGGCACTTAACCAGCCACGGACACATTAATGTGTCGGCAGTCTCCATAAGTCCATAAGAATTTATAATGGGGTTATAATACTAGGCGCTAATACTTACTGCTTATTTAAGCAGATGCCCATGGTTGTCAAAGGGTTAAATTTGCTCTTTTCATGTACTACTTCTTCTTCTTCTTACAGACAGTAACAGGCATTGGTGCTACTAGCTTTCAATCTTACACCAACGCTATCAACGAAATCATGGAGCGCATTAGTGAAATACCCAGGAATCAATCGTCAGACTGCTGCGGATACAGGAACCAGATTCTGGACAAGTTCTGTGCCGTACAGGTAGAGAGAGAGAGAGAGGGAGAGAGAGATAATCTCAGTATGTGTATAACCTTGCCATTTTCATGTTTTTATTGCTGTTTTAGAGATAATCTCATAACCTTGCCATTTTCTTCATGTTTTTGTTTAGAATGCGAATGAGTTGAAGAAATGTTCCGGCAGATTTGGATACAGTAACTGTAAAGATCGATGCCTGCAGTAAGTCACCCATTTTGTGAGATTGTCATTTCCCCAGACTTTGTCTGTGTGTATTTATAATTATACATCAACGAGGCCGCGCAAAACAAAAGCAAAGGAATTATCTACAACTCTTAAAGAAGAGCTACCCTGGGTGGGATTCTAACCCACGACACTCGGCAGTCTAGGCAGAGCGCTCTTACCCACTGAACTACCAGAGCAGCTCAGCTGGTAGCGCCTCCAATCCACACGTGCACCTGTGTGTGTGTGACTGTGTGTTTGCATAATAGGGCTCAGTTCAAGAATGGAATTACGTCACTGTTTTTAGTAGCACATTCTAAATTTATTCTGCCACACATTCCCTTTAACACAGATGCTGTGAAGCTACAAGTAATCTCCCGGCAACTTGCACAAATCCACTCACGCAATTTCGAGAACCCAGCCGTACGGACCTCTGCCCCGCCCCGCCCCGCCTCTCGTACGATGACATCATCAACGGGGTAAATGGGACACTTGACAGCCACCTCGTCTACGTCGACGAGCACCTCATCGAACAGGCAAACGATTTAGATCCTGAGGTCTTCATCCGCAGGGTTCTGGGCGGATTTGTAATGACTTATGATGAACCAAATTTTGGGTCGTGCGGCGGTTTTCCCAATGAAGACTTTTGCCCCATTTGTACAAAACTAGTGGAAGAGCAGTTTTCGCAGTGCACCGAGGTCAATAACGGTAGTGAATATTTCTCTCTCAACGTCGCCAAGCTCAACCTGACAGACTTGGATTTTTTGGAAAGTCAAGAAAACTGCCCAGCTCGTTATGAGGGGGGCAGCGGGGGGAACGGGGGGAATATTGACGCCGGTTCCCTCGTGGACGGGACCAGTGCCAACTACTTCCAGCAGGTCTCCTGTATTGAGGCTGAGGAGGCGGGCGTTCGGAATTCACTGCCTGTCTACACACCAAATAGACCAACTCAACCGAAGATAATATCTGCCACAGTGTACTACAACAACAACGTCAGTTGCATCACTTCATTGTATACAGCGGAATCCCTTTAATCCTGACACCAGAAAAGTGTCCATATAAGTGTATTAGTGAGGTGTCCTTGTTTCAGGGGTTGAATTGCATGCAATAATAGTTCTTGGGGAAAAGAAAGTGTCCTTATTAGAGAGGGTGTGTCCTCATTTCAGGGGTGTCCTAGAGAGGGTGTCCTCATTTCAGGGGTGTCCTTAGAGAGGTGTCCTCATTTCAGAGGGGTCCTTAGAGAGGTGTCCTCATTTCAGGGGTGTCCTTAGAGAGGTGTCCTCATTTCAGGGGTGTCCTTAGAGAGGTGTCCTCATTTCAGGGGTGTCCTTAGAGAGGTGTCCTCATTTCAGGGGTGTCCTTAGAGAGGGTGTCCTCATTTCAGGGGTGTCCTTATTAGAGAGGTGTCCTCATTTCAGGGGTGTCCTTAGAGAGGTGTCCTCATTTCAGGGGTGGTCCTTAGAGAGGGTGTCCTCATTTCAGGGGTGTCCTTAGAGAGGGTGTCCTCATTTCAGGGGTGTTCCTTAGAGAGGGTGTCCTCATTTCAGGGGTGTCCTTAGAGAGGTGTCCTCATTTCAGGGGTGTCCTTAGAGAGGTGTCCTCATTTCAGGGGTGTCCTTAGAGAGGTGTCCTCATTTCAGGGGTGTCCTTAGAGAGGTGTCCTCATTTCAGGGGTGTCCTATAGAGGGTGTCCTCATTCAGGGGTGTCTTAGAGAGGTGTCCTCATTTCAGGGTGTCCTAGAAGGGGTGTCTCATTTCAGGGGTTCCTTAGAGAGGTGTCCTCATTTCAGGGGTGTCCCTATTAGAGGGGTGTCCTCATTTCAGAGGGTGTCCCTTAGAGAGGGTGTCCTCATTTCAGGGTGTCCTTTAGAGAGGTGTCCTCTTTCATCCTTAAGAGGGTGTCTCATTTCAGGGGTGTCCTTAGAGAGGTGTCCTCATTTCAGGGGTGTCCTTACTCCTTAGAGAGGTGTCCTCATTTCAGGGGTGTCCTTACTTTATTAGAGAGGTGTCCTCATTTCAGGGGTGTCCTACTCCTTATTAGAGAGGTGTCCTCATTTCAGGGGTGTCCTACTCCTTATTAGAGGGGTGTCCTCTTTCACTCCTTATTAGAGAGGGTGTCCTCATTTCAGGGGTGTCCTTACTCCTTATTAGAGAGGTGTCCTCATTTCAGGGGTGTCCTTACTCCTTATTAGAGGGTGTCCTCATTTCAGGGGTGTCCTTACTCCTTATTAGAGAGGTGTCCTCATTTAGCTTACAGGGGTGTCCTTACTCCTTATTAGAGAGGTGTCCTCATTTCAGGGGTGTCCTTACTCCTTTATTAGAGAGGTGTCCTCATTTCAGGGGTGTCCTTACTCCTTATTAGAGGGGTGTCCTCATTTCAGGGGTGTCCTTACTCCTTATTAGAGAGGTGTCCTCATTTCAGGGGTGTCCTTACTCCTTATTAGAGAGGTGTCCTCATTTCAGGGGTGTCCTTACTCCTTATTAGAGAGGTGTCCTCATTTCAGGGGTGTCCTTACTCCTTATTAGAGAGGTGTCCTCATTTCAGGGGTGTCCTTACTCCTTATTAGAGAGGTGTCCTCATTTCAGGGGTGTCCTTACTCCTTACTCCTTATTAGAGAGGTGTCCTCATTTCAGGGGTGTCCTTACTCCTTATTAGAGAGGTGTCCTCATTTCAGGGGTGTCCTTACTCCTTATTAGAGAGGTGTCCTCATTTCAGGGGTGTCCTTACTCCTTATTAGAGAGGTGTCCTCATTTCAGGGGTGTCCTTACTCCTTATTAGAGAGGTGTCCTCATTTCAGGGGTGTCCTTACTCCTTACCCTTTATTAGAGAGGTGTCCTCATTTCAGGGGTGTCCTTACTCCTTATTAGAGGGTGTCCTCATTTCAGGGGTGTCCTTACTCCTTATTAGAGAGGTGTCCTCATTTCAGGGGTGTCCTTACTCCTTATTAGAGAGGTGTCCTCATTTCAGGGGTGTCCTTACTCCTTATTAGAGAGGTGTCCTCATTTCAGGGGTGTCCTTACTCCTTATTAGAGAGGTGTCCTCATTTCAGGGGTGTCCTTACTCCTTATTAGAGAGGTGTCCTCATTTCAGGGGTGTCCTTACTCCTTATTAGAGAGGTGTCCTCATTTCAGGGGTGTCCTCTTTTCAGGGGTGTCCTCCTACTCCTTATTAGAGGGGTGTCCTCATTTCAGGGGTGTCCTTACTCCTTATTAGAGAGGTGTCCTCATTTCAGGGGTGTCCTTACTAGAGGGGTGTCCTTACTCCTTATTAGAGAGGTGTCCTCATTTCAGGGGTGTCCTTACTCCTTACCCTTTATTAGAGAGGTGTCCTCATTTCAGGGGTGTCCTTACTCCTTATTAGAGGGGTGTCCTCATTTCAGGGGTGTCCTTACTCCTTATTAGAGAGGTGTCCTCATTTCAGGGGTGTCCTTACTCCTTATTAGAGAGGTGTCCTCATTTCAGGGGTGTCCTCCTACTCCTTATTAGAGGGGTGTCCTCATTTCAGGGGTGTCCTTACTCCTTATTAGAGAGGTGTCCTCATTTCAGGGGTGTCCTATAGGGGGTGTCCTTACTCCTTATTAGAGAGGTGTCCTCATTTCAGGGGTGTCCTTACTCCTTATTAGAGAGGTGTCCTCATTTCAGGGGTGTCCTTACTCCTTATTAGAGAGGTGTCCTCATTTCAGGGGTGTCCTTACTCCTTATTAGAGAGGTGTCCTCATTTCAGGGGTGTCCTTACTCCTTATTAGAGAGGTGTCCTCCTACTCCTTATTAGAGGGGTGTCCTCATTTCAGGGGTGTCCTTACTCCTTATTAGAGAGGTGTCCTCATTTCAGGGGTGTCCTTACTCCTTATTAGAGAGGTGTCCTCATTTCAGGGGTGTCCTTACTCCTTATTAGAGAGGTGTCCTCATTTCAGGGGTGTCCTTACTAGAGGGGTGTCCTTACTCCTTATTAGAGAGGTGTCCTCATTTCAGGGGTGTCCTTACTCCTTACCCTTTATTAGAGAGGTGTCCTCATTTCAGGGGTGTCCTTACTCCTTATTAGAGGGGTGTCCTCATTTCAGGGGTGTCCTTACTCCTTATTAGAGAGGTGTCCTCATTTCAGGGGTGTCCTTACTCCTTATTAGAGAGGTGTCCTCATTTCAGGGGTGTCCTTACTCCTTATTAGAGAGGTGTCCTCATTTCAGGGGTGTCCTTACTCCTTATTAGAGAGGTGTCCTCATTTCAGGGGTCTCCTTATTAGAGAGGTGTCCTCATTTCAGGGGTGTCCTTACTCCTTATTAGAGAGGTGTCCTCATTTCAGGGGTGTCCTTACTCCTTATTAGAGAGGTGTCCTCATTTCAGGGGTGTCCTTACTCCTTATTAGAGAGGTGTCCTCATTTCAGGGGTGTCCTTACTAGAGGGGTGTCCTTACTCCTTATTAGAGAGGTGTCCTCATTTCAGGGGTGTCCTTACTCCTTACCCTTTATTAGAGAGGTGTCCTCATTTCAGGGGTGTCCTTACTCCTTATAAAAGATGTCAACTAGATTTTCCCACCTCGTTATACGGAGGTGTACCCGAATTTGCAACTTCACAAGGGTGCAAGATGCCCCGAAAGTTAGGGGAAAACGCGAGCTGTACGCATGCGCACATTTTACACATACGCATGCGCACATGCGCACAAGCAGCTAAAATGGCCGCTCCGCCGAAGAAGCGACTGAGACTTCTGGAAAATCACATATGTAAGCCGTTCAGCAGCCGTGTATGCATCGACAACGAACTTTCCTCCACGGCTCTGCAACAGGCAGCGAGGAAGTGGGGGCTCGCGGCCTCACGTACGACGAGACGAGTGTTGTCTACTCGCTACTGTGGAATCAACCGTCCCTCCTGCCTTCCCCGTACTGTTACACCGGTAGGCGAGCCACCCCTCTGGTGGGGAAGGGGGCAAAGGGCAAGGCAGTGGGTCTGCCTCTCTTCTACACTGCGTCTCCGGATCACCCAATCAGAGAGCGAGACGAGAGGGGCAAGGAGGAGGAAACCGAGATACGAGAAGCTGTATGCATTCGTGCAACTTACCGAAGATCCAAATTATCTCTGCCTGTTCTCTAGCACCCCAGCACAGTCCAACCTGTCCAGCCATGGAGGTTGCGGAAGAGAAAAGTAGTGGACTATATTCCATCATCTCCTGAGGCTGGTATAGGAGAAAGAGTGAGGTATATATATACATAGACACCCTCTGGGGCAGTGTTATCTGTCCCCACTGTGTCGTGTGGTGTGTGTAGGTCAGAGCTGGGGTACCTGTTCCCTCCTGTGATGGGCAAGATGGTGGAAAACCATGTCCAGAGCAGGTGGCTGAAGCAGAGAAACACAGGGTGAGTTGATTTTCTGTTGGAGGGGGGGCAATC